GCTCCTCTAAAGCTTGGACTTATATATATATCTCTCTCTCGCTTCGACTGTGCGTTTACTCAAAACTCATTCACAACTTTTTGTTGTTGTCGTCGTAATATCAGTTGTTCTCTGCCCTCGTGTATTGCTCTCTCGCTCTGTCATGCTGCGACCGCCTGTTGCTCTTGTGGTTTTCTGTTGATATTGTTGTTGTTGCCTTTGTATTTTGGCGGAAAAACTTGCTTTGATCAAAATGCGAGCAAGAAGCTTTGCGATAAGATCAAAGAAATTTTTGCCGCGTATTTCGTTACGTTTTTGTTGTTATTGTTTTACGTTGTGCACTGTTTGTTGTTGTTTGCCGTTCGCATTAGCACATGGTGAGAGAGACAGACAGACAGAGAGAGAGAGAGAGAGAATGAGAGCCATTGTGAGGGCCAAGTATTTAGTTAAACATGGGCTAGAGAGCTGCTCTGTTATTACACACATCAATTGTATATTAATCATACGCCTCGTGGGTCCACACACACACACGCACACATACAGCTGGATTTCACATTGTCATGGCCGCTGACGCGTGGTAATCAGCGTTGTCGACGTCTGTTTCTGTTTCAGTTTCAGCTTTGGTCTTGTTGTTGTTGCTGTTCTTGGCTTTGAACTTAAGGTCGGTTGTGCACATCAATCAAATGAGCAGCGGCGATTTGTGGTTTTCGTTGTTGTTGCTGTTGTTGTTTTGATTTTACGCTATTTTCCAGCAATTTGTAAATGATACAAAAACAACTAAACAACAACAAAACGCGTGCCGCCAACAACAGAAGAACAGCACCACAGTAACCACAACAACAACAACAACAACAAGTCAAAGGCAACGATTTTAGTGTCTCAGTGTGTCAGTCTGTCAATTGTGTCCGCCTGTCTGCGCCGCTGTCTCTGCATAAATAACCATTCAGAAATCGTAAAGAAATCTTCAATCAATGTTTATTTTGGCTTTGAAGTTGTGCCGCTGTCTCTGCCTCTAGCGACGACAATTTGCAGACAAAATGCAAATGACACGGACAATTTGAGAGGAGGCCTACAAAATCAGCCAGAACAATTATGGATACACAAACAGACACACACACACACACACACACACATAAAACTTGGTCTGTTGCTCAACAAGTTTAAGTAACGGTAGCGCATTAAGCTTTAAGCCGGTGGCTAAAGCTTTAAGCTGTCAGCCATCTAGCTTTAAGCCGCTGCTGCTGCTGCTGCTGCTGCTACTGATGCTGCTGCTGCTGCTGCTCTTGTTGCACACACAAATTGAGCGACTTTTCTTCAATCAGTTTTCAGTTTTGCTATCGCTGCCGTTTTGATTGCTGCCTGTCTGTTAGTGGAGACCTTCCCCCCATAGTGCTGCCACAACACAACTCAAGTAACCAAAAACGAAAAAAAAAAAAAATAAAACTCTCTGATGTTTGCCGCTTAACAAATTGACAAGAATTCTAACGCTACGAGAGCTGTTCAATGAGTTGTGAGAAATGTAAATAGAAGCAAAGAAACTGATATATATATACATATATATATTTATCGGGCCTATGGAATACAGACTTATATCTCTAGCAGCAAAGCCAATTTTACTAAAAATAAAAATAAATATATATAAAATAAATATAAAATGTCTTCTTCAATCGAGCTATTCCTTATTGTTTGAGCAACCCTCGTCTATTGACATGCTTGACAATTTATTTTTGGGGCTGCGCCTACGATCTTCTAATGTTAACCAAGACCCACAAAAATACAAAATAATATAACAAAAATTACGTGTGTGCGCGGATTTACGCTTGAGTAAACAAAACGCGTGCCCACATTGACAAACACACACACATACAGGCAGACGCACACACACACACATAGGCAGCCACAAGTGAAGATAGAGATACTTAGATTCGAGCGTACGTTGCACTTGTTGTTTACCTGTTAAGAGAAAAAACGGCAGCGCCGACAGCAATAGCAACAGCACCAGCAACAACAACAGCAACAAGAGCAACAACATCGGCAGCTGCTCTGTTGCCGCCGCCGCCGTCGTCGTCGTCGTCGTCGTCGTCGGCTCCGCCAAAGGAAAAAAATGTTCACAAGCGCCGCTTAATTACCCTATATAGCGTCTTAAGTTGCGCTATTAATTGCGGGCACTGCTTATTAATATTTTGCTTTTGGCTTGTAGTAACTCCTCTCTCTCTCCCTCTCTCCCTCTGTCTTTCTCTGTCGTTGCTTCTCTCTCGTTCTCGCTCGCTCTTGGCCGATCTTTCTTTTCAGTCGGGCTAGTGTACCGATTTCTTGCGGCCAGCAATGCCGACAAAGGCGCCCGACCCACCCCAAGCTCCGTTCGCCCCGCTGCCCGGTGCCGGGCAGAGTTTAGGCAGCTGCTCTGTCTGGGGGCTGGCTGGCAGCCAACTACTTGTCGCGACGATTAAATTGTCAGTTTTTATTAATTGCTGCAAATAGTCAAGTCGCTCTCCCTCTCTCTACGCTGCCCTCTCTCTCTCTCTCCTTCTCTCTTTTAGTGATTGGCGCTGGCGCTAAGCGCTTAGTTGTTGCTATTTATATATGTGTTTCTTTTTTACTTTTTTAATAAATTAAGCATACGCCCTGTAGTGACTTGAATTAATTTGATACGATTGTGTATGGTGTGTGTGTGTGTGTGTGCCTGTGTGTGTTAATTGTAATGCAATTAGGCTTTTACAGGTTAGACTACTATTAAATGGCTGCCTAAGTGAATTAGTCTATTAAAAAATTTGCAAATCTCTTTACAAATTGCCAACACGATTTATGGCTCATAATTATTTATAATCTTTGGACAGGCCGATTGAAGACAGTAGCAAAAATCAATATATTTTGGAAGTCACTTATGATAATAATACTTAAGATAATAAAACTGCAATTTTTCGACAGATATATTGATGATTGCAGTAAAAAGCGATACGTGTAAATTTCCTTAATCAAGTGGAATTTATTTTTATGGGAATTCATGTTTAATGTATTATCTATAGCTCTAATCGATCTATATGTTATTGTTATTAATTGGTGAAACATCATTAACAAGTGTTTTGCATATATTTTTAAGCTACGTTGACTTTTTCCGTTCGCTTGCAAGCCTCTCAACACACAAATACACACAGGCACACACACACTTATATTTCTTCGCACACATACTCGTACTCAAATATGCAACATAATCAATAACGACCTTGTCAAATCAAAGGAGCCGAGCGACTGCAATGACTGCGCTTGGCTAAAGCGGAGAGCTGAGGGTGTGTGGGGCAAGTGGTGTAGTGAGCTGCGGCTTGTTGTGGTTTTTGCTTTATATATAAATATGTTTTGCCTGCTTTTGGTTCTGTTGGGGCCACCCCACCTTGCATCAACTTATTAGTCGCAGCACTTGCTGCTACAGCAGCAACAACTCGCTCTCTCTCCTTCGCTCTGCCTGTCTGTTTATCTTTGTCGCACGCGGCTTATCGCATACGCTTAAGCAAATAGCGGGCCAGGCATAAATAAACTTCCGTTGCCATTGTTTTTGTTGTTGTTTATTGTTAGTCCCATTGTTGTTGCCAGTTTGTTTGATTTTCGTGCGGCGGCGGTGAAGACAAAATATGGAAAACGCGCGCAAATGCAAAAACCAAAGCGAAGCAACCGTTAAAGTTAAACGGAAGCAGCGCGGGCAGATCTTTAGATCCACTTGGAATATTGGCTAGAGGTACCAAAGGATGCCATTAATCATAGGGAATTTAATCTGTTGAGATTGAAGATGCCTAAGTTCTATATTTATTTTATTTTATATTTTTATGATATGAAAATCCTAGATAATTATGTCAAATTCCTTACATACATAAATCCAAAACAATCGTTTTTTTAAGTCTACCTTCCATTTATCATAATTTACATTTTCTCCAGAATCCAGAATTGACCTTAATATTTTTGTTGCACTTAGAGCTTGCCACTTTAGCGTACGGCTAGGCAACATAATTGCAACTGCAATGGTCAACAGCCAAGAGACGGGTCCGCTAGCCTGTCTGCCCTTGCCTGTCGGGCTCTGCTCCTAAAGCAGAGCCAACAGCTGCCTGATGCGAGGCATTCATAAAATACACCTGTTTGCAGCAATTTAATACTTTTTATGGCATGGAAATAACGCAACGGCTGCTGAGGCGGCGGCAACTGCAATGCCACGCAGGTAATTCGGAAGCAGCCTCAAATGAAGCCGCAAGCAGCGACAGCAGCAGCAACAACAACAAAAGGCCGAAGCCGCGGCCTAAAACATGTAGCCAAGTGCCAGGCATCGTTATTAGACCGGCCACAGCTCTCACTGTATGTGTGTGTGTGTGTGTGTGTGACTGTATCTTTGTATCTGTGGGATGTGCGCACGTCTGCCGAGCGGCTACGCTGATCGCTTTTTACTCTGAGCGCGCTAAACCCGTGCCGTTTTCAGCTTTGTACTTTGCCGCCCCGATGGCCCGATGGCCAATGCCGCTTTGCGGCATGCTGCAAAGCAGATCTCGCAGCCAGGCAGCCAGGCAGCCAGCCAGTCAGCCAGCCAGCCGGCCAACCAGTTCGGCCCAAGCGCACGAACGTACGAGCGTACCCAAAGGCAGTCGTCGCACTCATTGATCTTAACTTTGAAAACAGTAGCCAACTACTCTATACGCTATATGGCATGGAGGCTATACGAACTGGGACTCTTCAAGCTGTGGAGCTCTGGAGCTATGGATGTGGATGTGGTTGTGGCTTCAAGCGAAGTGGAGCGCACGAAAGCGGCCTGCACTTTGTTGTTGTTGTTGTTGTTGTTGCTGATGAGGGTTTTTGGTTGGCTATACTTAAAGAAAAAAGGTTCTTCGCTGCGTTCTGTCGGCCTTTTGGCTTTTGTTTTGTTTGAGTTTTATTTATTTTTATATATGTAGGTATGTTTTTTTTTGTTGGTAACTTTTTGTTGTTGTTGGCCCCTTTGCGCACGCAGGCAAATTTAAGCTGATTTTTATGCCCTTGCAAAGGATTTTCAAATTGATTTCGATTTCTGCGATATGCTAATGTCGTAAATAAAGCTGTAGATGTTGCTGCTGTTATTGTTGTTGTTGCTGCTGTAGTTTTTCGGTCAACTCGATTGGGCGGCTTAAGTCGGAAGCTATTAATTTTAATTGACGTGCTACTGTTTTTTCGTGTTGTTTTTGGCCTGTTTTTTTTTCTTCTCCAACTTCAGCGGCAACTTTTGATATTTGCGGCCCTCTTTAATAAGTTGCTGTTGTTGTTGTAGCTGCGGCTACTGTATGGCTTAGCCAATAAATTCAGTGGTTAAACTCACCTGTTTGTGTGTGTGATTGTTGTTGTATTTAATCCATTTATTTGTAGCGGCTGGCATATTTTGTATCTGAACAGCTGCCATGGCTCACATATATATATATATTGAATCGCAGCGAGCACTGGGCTGCTCTGCTCTCTTCAGTTATCGAGTTGTTAAGCACTGTTGGCTATCAATGCACAATTTCGAAGCACTGCATGTTTATTGCTGCACATTCTGCAAATATTTAACCATGTTTTGCCATGCACACTTGGCAAACACTTTCATTCTATCGGCTTGATATATTTTTTTGTGATTTGTGATTATTTTGATTATTTCATGAATATTGATCTGCGAACACTTTGAACGCCCGTTACACGACTGCGTGAGAGAGTTGAGACTGAGACTGAGACTGAGACTGGGAAGACACTTGTTGGTACGTCCGCACACGTCGAATGCTCGAAACGGAATGAAATTTTTACCTTGCCTTGTGTCGCTCTTTGGCAGCATTGCCGCCGACGCTGACGCTGACGCCGACATCGACATCGACGTCAGCGTCAGCGTCACTGCTGGCTGCGGCTCACGTGCGCCGTACGTACGCCGCTCTCTTGCGCTCTATCTGTTCAGTTCGCTCGCTCGCTCTCGCACTCCAACCACTTGGCGTGCTCGGCGTGGTCTTCGTTTTTGTTTAGAATACGCAAAATAATAACAAAACTAATAATAAACTGCAAGGCAATGCAATTTGAAAGAATTATGCGCTCTCATTCTCTCTCACTCTCTGACTCGCTCTCAGTCCGCGTTGCGTCGGCGTCTGCGTCGGCGTCGGTGTCGATGTGGGTTCCTTTTTTTTTAAAGTTTTTTAATAATCGTCTTACGCTTTTATCAGCGCCTTTGATCTGCTTAATCGAAAGCCGAAATGGCTTCTGGTTTTCGTTTCGGTTTCATTTTTTTCGGATTTCGGATTTCGGTTTGCTTTTGGTTTAATGTTGTTGTTTAATTCGCCATCTTTTGCGCTGGGCGAGTTCGTTGCCTAAGTCTTTTGTTTTATTGCTGCTCGTTTTTTTGTCGCACATTTTAATGGCATATTTAATGCTAATTTAGTGTAATTGCAAATTTTGAATGCAGTTGCGTTTTATGCTGCGCTCAGAAGCACCCGCGACGACAGCTTCAATAATTCGCTCATCACCATATATATATATATACATACATATAGAGGCATATATGTATATAAGTATTTTTATGTTTTTAATGCGGCGCATTTTTGTGTTTTATGATCGCGCGGCATTTCTTGGAAAGAGCCCAAGCCGCCGTGGCCCTGGGATATATATTTTGGAATATGTGGGACGGCGGCTTAAACACATAAAATCTCAATAAAGTAGTCAGTTGCGACTTTATCTAATTGTAAATCTACAAAAAATACGTTTAATTCCCATACGAAATTGCTGCCGAAATGCGAGAGAAATCATCTCGCATATATATATATATGTGTGCGTCTCTTCTCTTGGTCAACAGGGACTCCATCCATATGGCCCTTTGCCACGCATTTCCATTTCCATTTCTATACGAAATTCAATTAATGACCGATCATTAAATACAAAAATATCTGTGGCTTTGATATGCCGTTGCCGAAATATTTCAATCTTTTACGATCTTTCAACGCCGCATACTTGTTTTTAACGGCCTCCATGAGCGCATTTGGTAGCCATAAAATTGTATTTTGCAAATGTTTTTATTTCGCGTCAGCTTCTTCTTTACTATCACGGACTAAATTAATTTTATTTTCCCCCGTCGATCGTTTGTTAAATAGTGAAATTTCTAGGCCTATGGAGCAACGAAAATACAAATACATAAAACAAAAAAAAAACTTGTCGGCGACTTGAAAGTGAGAATTGGAAAGGCGCTGCAATAATTTTGCATTAAGTACGAAACCGCGTAGGCAATTATTATGCGGCGACATCTCTGGAGATTATTGGATGCTCGCATTGCTCATACGCACCGTGTGGCACTTGCTGTGGCTGCGGTTGCTACTGCAGCATTGGGGGCAATTAAAACGCCGCCGAACAGCACGCGATGAATGCCCATAAACATTTAACGCGCAATCAGCAGGGAGCACGGCACTGGGCAGAGCAGGAGCAAGAGACGGAGATCGAGATTGAGGCTGGACGGTGGGGGCCTGACCATGGGCATGGGCTGTAACTCTTTTGCAACAATTACAAGACTCGCACACGACTTGCACACAATTTGAAAGCCGAGCATAATGATGTCTTCGGCTCGAGAGGATGATCATGATGAAGACGAGTGCTACTTTTGCCCGACGGCCGTAGCAGCAGCGGTGGCAGCAGGAGAAACAGATGATCGTTGCCGTTGCGTTGCGTTACGTTGCGTTGCGTTGGCCCCTCGCTGAYGCGGGACATGGACATTCATTTCGCTTAAGCGCACTAACCGGTCGGTGTCTTTGATCCTGGCATTCTATTGTTCCGTTTCAAAGGCCACTATTATGCTTTGATCTTGGCCGCATCAAAGTGTTGCCGCCACCTTTCATCTTTTGCCGCACTGCCCAGCGACGCCAGCAGCAGCAGCCGCAGCAGCAGCAGCAGCAGCAGCTGATGACGATCATGGTGATCATGCTGATGCTCATGATGTTGTTGAAGAAGCAGCCACTGCGTAGTTAAAGCTGCTGCTGCTGCTGCCGTTGCTGCCACTGAGCCATATAATTTCGCATGCTAGGCCAGAACACCTGGAGCCGCGTAGTTGATGACGCTGCCGCTGCTGCTGCCGCCGCTGCTGCTGCGGCTGCTACCATCATAACTTTCGGCATAATCTTTAAAGTCCCAGTTGCCGCAGTCGCAGCGCTTGACATCAATCGTGCAACACGAAGGAATCTCAGCTTCAATTTATCTCTCGCTCCCTCTCTCTTTCTCTCTCTGTCTCTCTGTTTTTTCTGCCTCTCTTTCTATTTGGTCTTCTATCTCAGGCTCTAACCTTTCAACAGATGTGCCCAGTTCGCGCTCGATAAGCAATTAAAATTTCAGCCAAGACGCACAACTTTATTAACGGATCATACAGCTCGGCCTCGACTGAGCTACGGTAACTGCCTTTGATCCTGTTGACTGTTGCAGCTGTCGATTTGCAAACTGCAACATTGTGTGGGAAAAGCAACAGGTGCTGCCAACCAGCCAGTCAGCTCTTCATCTTACGCTCTCATTTAAGCAGATTATCATCATAATTGCAACTATTTCGCATAAGTTTGAAGTTCTGTCACATGAAATTGAGCATAAACAAGTTTGTTTATTTGCAGAGAAGTAGAAAAACTAGCTGAGTTAATTTAACAATAATAGTAAATGGATTTGTTGAAAATTGAGATTTTAATTTCTTAATTGTTAATCATAGAACAGTCAGGGGGAATTGGAAAGGATTCAAGTAATTTGTTTTTAATAATTGACAAAGACATAAACTTTATTATGTTGCTATAATTGCAGAGCATTCGATGTCCATCAGTGATATTTGAGAGTTTATTCAGGCATCTATGCTAAATTCACATTTGCTAGAGATTTGCAAACTAATGACATTTTAATCCACGGCAAATTAACAAACTTCTCTATGAGAAATAACGGCAAACACTGCAGACTCTGAAGTGTTGGTAGGAGCTGAGCCACTCTTGGGCACTTTGGGCATCTTTGGGAGTTGAGTTTAAGTTGACTTTGCTCTCCGTCGCAGCGTCTCTTTTGCAGTCTCTGTTCGTTTGTATCTCTTGTGTATGGTCTCCACGCTCCACGCTCCACGCTTGCTGCGGCTCACTTGGCGGCAAATTGCTGTTGCATGCCCGAAGACGACGACGACTACGACGACGACGACGACGTCGCTGGCGTCGGCAAAACAACAAAGCGGAATCTCTGCATTGGGCACACGCCATTCCCAACATCAAAGCGTGCCGACCGAGGCACAGATTTCTGAGGCTGCCGCCACCGTTGGGGCAGCAGCACTAACACTAACAACAACAACAACTGTTGCTGCTGCTCATTTGTGTTTTGAGGCGCATTGTGCGACGCGCGTGTTAAGTGGACTGTGAATATGAAAGGAAAGTTCGAAAAAAAAAAAAAAACAACTTTTGCCGCCAAATAAATGCAGACGAGCAGACAAGGCAGCTCCTGCAGCCTTCTACTTACTGTCCAGTCTGTCTGTGTGTCTGTCTGTGTGTGTGTGTAGACCTCCTCTCTCGTCGTTGCGTCTCTGGGTTCTTAATCAAGAAACGCATCGGCGGCGTATCACAGTAGCACTTTAAACGTAAATTGCTTTTAACATGGTTATTACAATCTTAACGTTTGTCTGGCCACGAAGCACTTCAGGCAGCAGCAACCTGTTGTCGATGCTTGTTATTSTTGTTGTTGTTGCCGCTGCTGTTGCTGCTGCTGCTGCTGCTGCAGTTGTTGCTGTTGTTGTTGCTGTTTGCAGTTGCTCCGACAACAGCAATAGAAGTCAATGCTGGCCAGATCTGTGGGTTTCGTTTGTGCCCGTTAGTTTGGCTGCTCGGTTGCCCACTCGCCAGCCGCTTCGATCATCATCGGTCTTTGTCTGGGGTTTGGGGTCTGGGTCTGCGTTTCATTTGGTAGATTGTTGTAATTATGATTGCGCGATTATGATTGGATTAGTTGTTGTCGGTAGCTTTTTGCTTTAAGTTCGCCTTAATCGAAATTGTTTTGTGGCGGAAATGAGGCAAATGCCAGTCCAGCTGCTAATTAGTTAACGCTCCGGCCAGTCGGCCAGAACAGCAGCAGCAGATCAAAAGGGCAGGCCGCAGGATTAAGTTAGCGAGTCTTTTGTTGGCAACAGCTGCTGCCTGTTGCCTGTTGGCTGTTGCCTGTGTGGCGATAATCTTGCATTTAAATATTTCGCAGGAAAACACGCAAATCCGCTGACTTGTCACACCTTGTGGCCAGGTAAGTTCCCACAGCAACTGCAACTGCAACTGAAACTGAAACTGCGGCCTTGTCTGCATGTATATGCATCTGTGTGTGTGTGTGTGTCAGGTGATCAAAGTGTGTGCCGCTGATTAAAAAGGGGGAATTTGTCGCCCTTTTGTTGCCCTGTTAACATCAAATGTACAAATTGGGTATGTGCAG